ACTACTTTGAAACAGGCATCATCTTCAATAAATGATCCTAATGTCTCAATTATGCGGCTGGAAATGCATCAGGACATGTTGTAGATTATTGCTTACCAGAAAATAGGTTTATGTTAATCATTCCGATGTCAATATCCTTCTCTGTAAACTTACAAAATCGAAGGTAATTGTACTCTGCCTTAAGTACCCTTATGTAAGTCAAGAAAAAAATACAACTGCAAACAAGAAGGTTGTGTCAGACCTAATAATGTAGTGGTAACAATAGGCCAATAAGGGAAGTCATCAAGGTATAGGGACATGTTATGGGAAAACATTGGGACATTTGGTTCAGTTGATAATGAGTGTTGTGTTGCAAGTAGTTGTCATAACTCAAAAGTCATAACCAACAAAAGTTCTTGGAACATACAAAAAAGACAATGTTGACAACTTGGGTTTAAATCCATAGTTTTGGTCATCATTCCAGCTGATTATGATACAATCTGGCTGTTAAAATGCATTGCTAGCATGTGGGGATGTGGTGACTCTGGAACAAAAGCAACGTTTAAACCAAACAAACAGAAATCCTGAATGCATAATGCTGCTGTGCTGATGCGCCCACTGTGATTAATGAAGGCAAGATCAGTGTGAGGCAAAAACAGTTTACCTCTCTGACCGTCGGCTGAATATTAATCACAAAATACCCAGTGGCTCATAAGCGTGGATTTCCCACTGAGCTAAAGTATAGGTTTCTACTTTGTGCCTGCAAAGCTTTTCCTCCTACTGTGACTGTTTCAAATTATCTCGCCATTTCCATTGAGTCATGTCTTCCTCTCGCTTTCTCCTCTCCTCATTTTCTCTCTGCTCATCCATCTCTTGTGTTTTCTCCCGACTGTCAGCATGTTGTTTCTCTTATTACTGTCTGCAGCATCGGGCCATCTTTCTCTTCTTCTTCCCCCTTCATCAGACTTTTTCTGCCTTGCATATTTCCCCTTCTTCTCTGAACTTTGTTCTACTCTTCTCCTAGCACCTAGTCTTCCCACCTCTTTCTCTCACCCGTCCTCTTCCCAATCATCATTTCTCACCCTTTCATCATATCGTCTTTTCCTCTCACTTTTGCCTCTTTTTTCTTCCGCCTCTCTCCTTTTCCTCCTCAATTCACCTCTCTATCCATCCTTATTCCCTCTGTTATTACGGGGCCATTTCCCCTCCCGCTCTAGGCTACTCTTCCCCTTCATCCTCGTCTCTCACTTCCTCCTCAATCCTCCCATATGCCCATCATCCCCCCCAGCCCTGTCTTCTCCACATGAGCTCTCGCTTCTATCCTTGTTGACCTTTCCTGCCCAATCTCCACCTGTCTTCTCCCATCCCTCCTCTTCCTGCTCCTCCTCATCATCATCCATCCATTTTTATTAATTTCCTCCATCAAGATTTCCTTTCACTCCGCTCTCCTCCTCCCCTCTCCTCTTCCCTTTTCCTCTCATCTGTCTGTCATCGTGTCATGTTTTGACATTTTTCCTATTCTCATCTCGTATCTGTTTTCGCCCATCGGACTGCTTTCATCTTCTTGTCACTCTGCCCTGTTGTTATCCCCACATCTCTCCCTCCTCCTATTTGGGATTTTAGCTTTTTTATTGTACCCTTCTCGCATTGATTTGCTGTTTTATGTCCATAGTGAAGAATACAGATGTTCAAAAACTATTTCAGCATTGCGATACAAGGATCAGATCGGACAAGTTCAACTAAGTTTTCTCTGTACCAAAGGAAAAGTGAAACTGCTCTAGTAATATTTGGTCCTGTCCGGATCACTTAATTACATTGCTGACATTAAATACCAGCCAGTAACTATAACATAAAAGTCACATGAGCTCCCAGCATGCAGCTTGTTAATTGGGCAGTGTTTTTCCAGACCTGTCACTCCACCTTATTAGACATTTTGATGAAGTTGGACCAGGTCCAATGTCCTGATTCAAGTTCTTGTTTACGAGTTAAGCATGATGGACTTTCCACATTCTCTTTGTCCGGTGCTCATGGCAGTTAAAAGCACGTGAGGAGATGGCTGAATATGAAGTTTAATATGCAAAACACGAGGGTACTATCTATCGGTTTGTTTTCTCAATTAATCGTTTGGTCCATAAATTGTGAGAAGATAGTAAAAAATAGCATCATAGTTTCTAAAGGTCCAAGGTGATGTATGGTTTAGCAGTCTAAAACGGAAAGATACACATTTAACGTGAGAAAGAGAAAAGCACAAAATATTCATATTGTAGATCCTAAAAAAAAACCCTGGCCATCTGCCGGCAAAAATGACTAAACGATCAATTGATAATTTCATTTTTTGCAATTGTTTTTCTGTCATAGTTACCAAAGGAAGAAAGATCAATACTTGGGTTACCGAGGCAACGAGATAAACAAGAAGAACTAGCTGAATTGACCCTTTACTTGTTTCATGGTTATTGTGCCGTTTATTCAGATTACATTCAAAATCCCAAAAAAACACTCCATGGTCCAATGTGGTTATTTGATAAGACCAGAATTTAGCATGGCCCTGTCTTGTTCTTGAGTATTATATTTGTACAAACTGATAAAAGCATGTTCAGTGTGGAATCTCACCCCTCTCTCCCTGTCTCTCCTGCCATGTCTTCATCCATCCTTGTATCTGGTTCCAGTCTGTCACCCTTTCAGGGTCCTTCTCAGAAGTGTCGTCTCATTTATTATTAAGTCTTTCGAATCGATCTCCTGCACCTCAACAGGTTCCCACTTCTCAACCTCTCCATTCTCCCCTTTTTCTGTTTCCCTTCTCTTCCCCATAGTGTCAATCTTCAACCAGTTTCCTTCATCTATAAGTCTCTTGATCTTTTCTAAACTCTTTTTTCTTTTTCTAACTCACATGTCCACTAACATGATATGTAGCAAATCAAGATCATACGGCAAAATGTTGAAGACATCCAGAGTCATTCATTACCTCATTCTGAGAGCCCACATCTGCTTCAGTCAGCTTTAAAGATAATGACTATGTATTCGGAGAGGAGCGTATATGTGGGTATAATGTAGAATAAGGGGTAACCACAGTGCGTGTCAGCCAACCAATTTATATTGGATGAATACTTGATATTTCTGTTTGTTAGGCTGTTAAAATACTGGGGAAGAGGTAGTGTGACTAGCAGTTTCCATTTTATAACCCATAGTCCTACAACAGGATGGTGTTGGCTAATTAGAAATGGAAGTTTAAGCTTTATCAGAAAAGTACATTTTTAAGCTTTCCATCACAGGTTTATGTTTGCTTTGGATCCTTACAACTGATAGAAAGTCATTGAATTTTAAGGGATTTTATTGACCCGATCATATTCTGATGATCTTAGTGTCAGTTCAGATTCATCTGCGTGAGGAAACATGCCATATTTTTGAGAGGGATTCGCACTGCAGAGGAGGAAGCACCACTTGAACGATACAAAACTAAACATGATATTTTTTAATAAGAGTGAGCTGAGTTTGCTGCCGCAGTGAAAGATGATAAATCATTAATAAGTTCTTTAAATATTCCCTTGAGTGAACCAAAATGGTGTGCTAAGGCAACATTGGGGAATAATTAATCTTAATTACAAGCTGTATTATTATCTCATATATCCCATTCCTCCTTTGGGTCTGGTTTATACACTCAAAGTGGAAACTCTTCTGCCTCTCGTCCCTTTGGTATCATTTGCTAAAAGCAGAACGGCCAGGTTGCTTAACAGGAGAATGCTGCGTGCGTTTCACTAACATAATGTGCCCAATTTTTGGTGTTTTGAAGTTCAAACCGTGTTTCATAAGCTCAGTCTGCCTCTCACTGCTATTTAGAGCTGCCAACGTGTGAAGCCTGGTTCTGCTTCAGAGCCTATACGTTTGTGCTTTTAGCTTTGTGAGGCCATGCCAAGTCCGATCCACTGAAGAACACTTGGCAGTCAAAATATAAAAGTTAACACAAGACAGAGAGACGTGTGGTGTTCTCATAGTTCTCATAGTTCTCATAGTTCTCATAGTTTACACGGTGCAACATTCTTATCATTTTAAAGCGTTTAAGATGCGTGCTTTGTTATCAAACTGTCTGTCTGGAGATGTAGTTTAGGTACAGTGTGTCTAGGTTTGATTATTCACAAAAAGAGATTGTAGCTACTTTGGTTTGACCTGAGTGTGTATAGTGTGATGATAAGACAAATAAATCAAACAAATAGTGTGTGTGAGGAAGATTGAGGGTGTTGTGAAAGTTAGTCTTTGACCATTTTCTAAGTTTAGGTGGTTGTCTGTTATAAAAAAGAATTCTCGCAACAAATCTTTGCCTTCGGTGCTGTCTTTATCTTTAAAAAAATATGTTTGGATTAATTGTTGTTCCATATCCATGCATACGTTTGCCAACAGGTGGAAATGCATTACAACGGCGCAAAACATTTCCATTAGGAGTAACACGCTGCCTCATGAAAACGCTGTAAAATCTGAGACTGCTGCAAAGAAAAAAAGATTCCAAGAAGCTCAAAACTAAACAGAAACGGGGACACTAAAAAGGGACGCACACAGCTGGGACCGCAGCGATTGTTGACGTTTGGGAATTATAAAGTTGGCCAACTGTCACTGTTTACAGAGTTAGTCCGTTTCAAACTCTGGCCGTACCAAATAACTGCACTGGACTGATGATAGTATGTCCTCACTGTAGTGCTTTTTGTAAAGATTGTGAATTGTGAACAAATGATCTGTGAATGGAAGTGTTTTGGCCAAAGCAGCGTGTCTGCACCTGTTTGCCACCATACAAGCATGTGTGTAAACCAAATTTCCAATTTTTATGATGACTTGACTCTATTCGCTAAAATTAAGCCAGAATTAGACGTCAATTGGCAAACTTTTACTTCGCATAAATACTAGAAGCAGTTTGGAACTCATTACTTGGTCTTCTAATCTAACTGCCTACAAGAAGTGCTTATGGTTAATTTCTTTCAGATTTCCTTGCACATTTTCGATTCTAATCCTTCATTTGTCTTCCTCTCCCTAATCAGAGCTGATCCAGAATGGCCGCCTGCTGACGCTGCCCCTGGTGGCCGGAGACATGCAGTATCTGCTGCCTGACGAAGACAGGAAGCGCCTCTACGTGGCCATGAAAGATAACCTGCTGTCTACCAGTCTGGATGACATAACGCAGAACCCACGCAAGGTTAGAGCTGGAGGACATACACACACTCATTTTCACATACCACCTGCGGCAAGGTGCATTACTACACACATGCCAAAGATTGTTGATGAATGCTTGGAGATAAACACAGATAATGAATGTGTGAGGGCTTTGATGGGACTAATTATGATTAAAATGAGAAAGAGGAAACTCACACCCCTCTGAGCGTCTATCTGTCTCTAGTTCCTTGCTCTTATTACAGAAATCAGTTTCTTCCTGAGTCCCCTGCTTCCTGGTTTTTACCTTCTTTGACTCTAATCAAGAAGAAATAACTTTCCACATAGACAGAAACAATGTTTAGTAGTATATTACACAATCTGTCCCTCGCTCCAACTTGGCCTCTCCATAAAAGCTGCAGTGTTGTGTTCTATAAAACATCTTCAAAATGTGGATTTATTTCTTGGCCTCTCCACCATGTGTTGTTTAGTTTATCCACTGATAGTTGGAGGGATTTCAAAAGCCTAAAAAGCCTGTGTTAGTTGTAGGACTTAAAGGTGCCCTGTGGATTTTTCTTGTAAACAAACAAAAGGGATGTTTATATTCAATATTACTCACCAAAACACATTGTGTACAAACATGAGGTCTCAAAGCATGTCAAATGCATTTATTTTATCGTAAAACATTTGCAAAACCGCAAAAGCATTATAAATCCATCCATTTTTACATCCACATTTACTAGCTTTCAGTCGTCCTCTTCCCTGCCTTTCATAGCGCATTGTTGCATATTTTGGCACGTTACTGCAACCCGTTGATCGCTGGAATATTGTGACGCCATTGGCAAGATGTATCTGTGTGTGTGTGTGTGTGTGTGTGTGTGTGTGTCCCCGTCCTTATGTGTGTAAACAAAATTGAGGCCAACTCATTGCAAAAACATTTCCATAGGGCAATGGAGGTCTACTAAAGCCTTTTGAAGCTTAAATATAACCAAAACTGCTACTAGCAAAGAAGCATAGCATTCTTTTGTTGTCTCATTATTTGTCACTTTCCAAAACGGACCAATACATAACAAGATAATGGGTTCCAGTAACAAATAATTTGTTTCACATTTTCCAAATTCCTACCTCTGCCGGCCACTATTATACCTTTAAAGAAAAACAGCAGACATGTGGAAGCCTTTTTATTGATTTATTATAATAGTGAGGGCTTCTGCTCACTTGCCATTTCTGATTTAGTGGATTTATCCATTTCGTTTTAAGTTTAAAGACCAGGATTTTTCCATGTTGACAATCATATACAGCTTCATGATATAAACCGGAAAACCCTGAGGTGGACCCTCTGCTCTGACCTCTCGGAGTTCAGATGGTCAAGTTCTCACCCTGACACAAGTCTCTATTCCTTATGTGTGTTGTTACCATAAGAATAATACAGCATAACCACCATTTTAATTTCAATCGACATAGCATAATGATAACAACGGCGGCCATTTTTATGTGTTGCATAGCCATTGCGACTTGTAAAGCGGTCAAGGACTCACAGAGGTGAGGTTTTGCAGTAAACATACAAAGCCAGAGGAAATAAGTGATATGAATTGACTTTATGCGTCAGTCACACACTCACAGCATTGGAAAACACATTGCTATAATTTTCTGTGAAGCGTTAAAACATGGTCCAATTAGCAAGTTAACTAACAAGCCAGCTAGGCTGCTAGGTAGCTTGCTTACTGTTAGCCAGCAGAAACTCTGGGTAGATGTTAACAGCCCCTCTGCCTAGCTTCCACTGCTCCAGAGAAAGGAAAGCTAATTAGCTAACTATGCGACTCCAGAGCTGGGTCCACTCTTTTTCATGGCGAGACGTGACCTTACTTTGTCCCCACTGACTTGACAACAATCCACATTTTCTTTAGCACCAATCAAAGTACCACAGCAAACCGTTTAATGTGTGTCCAACTCTGTACAATTCTCCTTACATGGTCGCTACACACTTAGTTCCTCCAGTGCTGCTTGACAAAGGTTTAAATGACACAACATGTCCAACCCGGGTGTAAGACCAAAACCATGATTCCTAGTGAAAACAGAGCATCTTATAGCTGCATAGGGAAATAAAATATGGATGCAAACTGTTACATATAAGTTACAGGTTTGTTACCGTATCCAGCTTCATGCTGCAGCTAGGATTTTGAATGTAGACTGATAAGGTGACGTTTTTTTCAACCAGTCTGCGATATAGGGTTACAGAAAGGACAGCGTCTGTGCTGCTTTTTTAAAACCCTGCAGACTCAAATCAATAGCCTCATCTGTCCGTTGTACACGTAAGCTATCAGATAACTGGCAGGTTGGCAAGCAGACAAACTACTAGTGAAGCAGACAGACAGACAGCAGTCAAGCTGGCCAGCCACCCACTCAGCTAGGCAACCGGCCAACAAAAGATAGATAGTCATATCAAACTCGTAACTCAACTGTGTGCTGGCTGTAAAGTCATACATCTGTACATACAGTATTTATAGTCTGTTTATACTGTTCCAGCTCGGTGCAGTTCTTCCCTTGTGGTGTTCAAACCACTCACAGTGCCATATTCTCCACATTCCTGTTTGTTTTCTCTGCTACTGACACCCAGAGCTCCTTATCAGTGCAGCTTGAGGCCACTTCATTCCTACTTATGTATTGCTTTCTTTTCATGATTTAAACCTTACACGTACTTTTTATATATGTGCAGTCTTACTGACTCAATAGAACTGATTTTGGCACCGAGAGATGGACACGTAACCAGATCTTCCGATTCATCCCATTGCAGGGCAGAGAGCCAAACGTGACGCGGTTGCCTTCAGTTGCATTTTTACTTTGATCAGACCAAAAACCCTCAAGACATTCCTTCTGTGTGAGTGTGCAGCTGGCAGCCCACAGTACACAAAGGGTCACCGAGGGTTTGAGTGTGTGTTTGTGGCTTTTGTTGCATATTTATTCTTTATTCATTCTCCGTACTTCTTTTGTTTCCACTTTCTTTCTTTCTTTCTTTCTTTAAATGAGTCATTTCTAATAAAAATCCTTTATACCTTCAGATTTTTCCTCCCGGTGAGTTCTATATTTTGCATAAACTGACAACCAGCACGCTTTTCCCAGAGAGGTACATTTCCATTACACAGGGTCCTTACCTGGTGAGAATCCTTTAGTGGTGGTCCGTGTTCCAGTCAGTGTGTGGTATTTGAAGATAAGGGGGAAACGTGGGCTCTAATCTAATCTGATCGTCTCTGCTCTGCCAACGGCTCTGCGGGAATGACTACACCAGAGAGCCATTACTGGACGGTCAGAATAAATTGTTTCCTGAAAGCACCATCATTTGTCATTAGTCCCTTTCAAACAGTTGATGTTACATTTTCTGGATCCAATATCCACGCACATATCACATCTTATTCCTGTGAGTATTAATGATGATATTCGAGAAGTTCATTTGTTCATTGCCACTTTTAATTTTAGAGTTAAGTTCCTGCATTTCCTTCAGTGAACTTTGCAGTTGTTATGGTATGTAGAGATAAGTGAGAACGATGAGTTGTCATATCAATTCAATCTTTGCATGAATGACTGACTCAGGGAAATATTTAGATTAGTCATGTAGCTGCCATTTCCCATGAAGCCATATTTTCACTTTCTCTCTTTCTTTATCAAAGCCCTGTCTATTATTTGTTGCCCTAATCGCTTGACATGAAAGCAGGGAATTTTATAAATATATATACTTATCATTAACATAGACACAAACAAGGCAGTTTTATGAAATAGAGACAACAACTGAAGGAAACATGTCATTAGTACGTCTAGTTTTGTTATTTATCAGTCCACTGGTGAACTAATCTTTACTTTGATTAGAAATAATATCTTTCATTGGTGATTCTCTTAACTGAACCCAGGATGAATCTATTAAAAAAGCAAACACACACACACAGACACACAGACACACACAGACACACACACACACACACACACACACACACACACACACACACACACACACACACACACACACACACACACACACACACACACACGACCAAACCTAAACAGGCCTGAAGCAAATGTAACCTGATTCCTGAACAACCTGTTTATTCAGACATAGGGATTCAGACAGTTTGGAAAAAAGTGAATAAACACTGTCTCATGCCTTCCCGAAATACCTTAATAGGTTAACATCTGAATATGTGGCTTCGGGGCACTTCTGACAGGTTCCATTGCGTACCTCATTTCTGCATTACAGATTTTTCTTTCTTTTAACCTCTGGAAAAGTGTCATTTTGTTGGCAGATATGCACAGGGCAAAGAGCCTACATACATTATGAAAATATACAGATTTTATAAGTATAGTGAACTGGTCTGCTGTGGAACGGCTCATGATTGGAAAAAGACATGACTCATGAATGTTAGCTTCTGTGTGGGCACATTGCTGAACATAAACAAATCAGCCCACATTTTTATTACCTAGCCAGACTGCTGTTCTTTTTAACATAATATTCATAATTACATTCTCAGAAATTAGGTCAGAAAAACCTTTAATTTACATCAGACATTCTGGAAACTTGTTGCAAAGAAAAAATCAAGTTGACATGACATAGAAAGAGGAGTTGAAATTCAGTTTGGGTCCTTAGATTTGGAAAAGGTGCTCTCAAAGTCTATAAGCAGGATTGATTAGCATTTTAACAATGGAGTCTGCTATAATGCCACTCTCAGCCATAGTTTACTGCTGTTACAAAACTATTTGCTAACTAGCACTTGTGTATTCACATGAATGATAATGGTTTACATTTAGACAGAGGCTTGCTTATTCATTAAACAAGAAAATGAACTGATAGCTTTTTCCCATCTAAGGACAACAGTTGAATTATTGTGCTCATGTTGCTGTAGCTAACACTGCAGCCACAGTCTAACAATAGATGTATTTGTCATGTTGCCACCATCACTGCCGCTCTGACAGCTTGCCTCATCATTGGATTCGGCGTTGCTGCCAGTTACTTTTTATATTCTCCTCCCTGAAGCTGCCTCCCAAGAGGTATTCAAATCTGCCTCGTCTCTTCATGTTGTTTAAAATCTAGATTAGTCATGTTTCGCTGCCTCGTTCCCACCTCGAGCACAATGGTGACATATTTTTATCAGGAAAATGTTGAGTGAGTAACAAACACTGTTTTTAAATATCTTTCTCCCCCTCTTTTTCTTTCTTTATCTCTCTCGCTCTCTGTAGCTGTACTGGCCAGCCAGTCCAGAGCGAGTCCAAGAATGTCTGATGGCTGGGAAGGATCCAGAGGTGATTTAGCACAAACACACACACACACACACACACACACACACACACACACACACACACACACACACACACACACACACACACACACACACACACACACACACACACACACACACACACACACACACACACACACACACACACACACAACAACAGTATGATTGCATAAGCAAAGCAACATGTACCACAGTGTGTAGCCGTAAACGCAGGTGAACATTTATATATCTGTTCGGATCAGAGTTCAAATCAGGTTTAACATCTTTTTTTCTTATATTCAATGATATACTCTCACGTAAAAAAAACAGTGAAGAGATCAGTATCAATAAAGCAAGACAGTGGCATGGTAGATTACAATCTGGAGCGGAACTAAAGCTGAATGCATCTGATTCATTTGACAACAATAAACAGGCAAGACAGCTCTGATCCTGGCAAAGTTATCAAGATTCAGGTTAGCTACATTTATTCAGACGACAAAACATGTCCGGGACTAAATGGAAAGACTTTGACAGAGAAGAAAAAGACAGGTGATGCTTATCAAGAAATCAAATCTTACTTTTTGTTTGGTGTAGCCACCTTTTTTCATAGCAAACTTGTCACATCCCCAACAGATCCTACCCTCCATTATGTTATTTCAATATAATTCAACCAGGCTCGTTTTGTTACTACTTTCCCAATATTGTTACTTGCTGATAGAAATGCAACAAATTCATATAAAGTAATCACTTACTCATATATGTAATAAAGCATTTACAAATATAATTTCTTCATACTCACATTGTTCCCTCTCAATGTGTGTTTCTCTCTCTGTCCAGTTGGAGTGTGCTAACTTCCTGAGAGTTCTGCAGCCTTTTAATCAGACCCACCTCTACGTTTGTGGCACTGGCGCCTTCAACCCCCGATGTGCGTTCATAGCTACAAGCATCTTCCAACAGGTAATACTGCAAGCCCACATATACAAACAAACAATTACTTTCTGAAGACACTTCACCAGTTAGAAAGTGGTCCATCTGTCACATTTAGAAGAGAATAGCTTTAATTTCAGTTTCCCAGATACATATTTATAGTACTCAGAATGTTGGTAAATATATTATTATGTCAGATCAGTATCAGAAGCCAAACAAACTTGATGTGGAGATCCATAGTTTGAGTCTCCCCTTCTGCGCCTTAACATACACTGGCCGTTTCTCAATGTCGAGTAAACCTGCTGCAGAGCCACTATTTCAAGTATACTACGTCATCGAGTGGCACCTAAGGACTGTTTAAATGCATGTAAAATGCCCAGCATTCGGCGTCACTCAATGACATAGTATACTTGAAATAGTGGCTCTGCAGCAGGTATACTCGACATTGAGAAACGGCCACTCACTGGCCACTTTATTAGGTACACCTGTTCAATTGGTGGTTAACGCAAATATTTAATCAGCCAATCACATGGCAGCAACTCAATGCATTTAGGCATGTGGTCATGGTCAAGAGGACCTGGTGCTGTTCTACTGGGATTTTCACACACAACCATCTCTAGGGTATAAAGAGAATTGTCCGTAAAAGGGAAAATATCCAGTGAGCGGCAGTTCTCAGGGCGAAAATGCCTTGTTGATGTCAGAGGAGAATGTCCAGACTGGTTCAAGAAAGGCATCAGTAACTCAAATAACCACAAGTTAAAGCAAAGGTATGCAGAAGACCACCTCAGAACATACAACACTTGGAACCTTGAAGCAGATGGGAAGACCACACTGGGTGCTAGGAACAGGAACTTGAGGCTACAATTTGCATGGTGTAACTCATACTTATTTGCTGACAGTATGGAGTAAATATGAGCTGTTAATCACCCCAGATGGGACTTGAACCCACAGTCCCTGGCTTAGGAGGCCAGTGCCTTATCCATTAGGCCACTGGGGCTTTGCACACCAGATCTTTAGCGTCTCACCAAAAATGAGTTTGACTACAAAGTGGCTATAAGGGTTATCGTACTATAATACAATGGCTACACGACGGAATTGCGAGGTTTTCACGTAGTCGTGTTGCCTTCCTAAGACAATCGGGCAGCTTCTTGTTTCCTTCGTATTGTCTTCGTGAGGCAGAAAATGCTCGATGGCACCGATGACACGATTTTTTGGCATGCCAAAGATTTTGCCACCGCTCACGAAGTTGCTGCCGGAGCCTGAGAAACTCCACCGGCGGTCATACAACGGCTTAAGATGCCCTCACGAATGGCCCGATGTTGCTACGATCAGAGCCGAATTTGAACATTTCCTTTATCATGTGTCCATCTGGTGTCAATTTTGGGACAGTGTGAGAGGGGCTTTACGGAGTGAAATGACTCGGAAGTAACTCAGTAGCAGCCATGATAAGAGCCGTTCGAATTCTCTCGATCAGGGGTGTCAAACTCAAGGCCCGGGGGCCAAATCCAGCCCGCGACTTCATTTTATGTGGCCCCACAAGAGCTTGCAAAGAATATATATATATGTTAATTATACGGTTACATGCCGATTTACAGAGGCTCGTTGCCCCTACATGGAGCACAATGCATCTCAAATTTGACTTTTTTCTCAGAATTTGACTTTTTTTCTCCTAAATGTCACTTTTTTTCTTCAAAATGTCACTTCTTTTTTTCAAAATGTCACTTCTTTTTTTTGATTGTGACTTTTTTCCCAGAATTTGGCTTTTCTTTTTAAATCATTTTGTTACATTCTCACTGAAGAGACTTGCAATTATTTTCCCTAGACTTCTGCTTTCAGTCGTAGTTAATCATGAAGTTATTATTACCTTATCCGATAATCCAATGCAGAGGCAATAATGTAATATAATACATTATTTTATATATATGATATATTTATATATGTATTTTTATATAGTTTTAAAGTTACAACCGGCCCTTTGAGTGCAACCATAATGCTGATGTGGCCCACGATGAAATTGAGTTTTACACCCCTGCTCTAGAGGATAGGAAAGGAGGTTTGAAACTTCCTTTATAACCTCCTTTAGCTTAGGAAACACTGGACCACGCTTTACGAAGGGAGAGGAGAAAATGCTGCCCCACAATGCCTTGCGGCCGCAACATTTACAGTGTCACACAACATTCGGCCATTCACGGAAACAACCGATTATGACCGAGAAATTATATCATGAAAGTTACAGTGCTTATTAAGCATTTTAAAACGTATGTGGTAAGTTGCCAAAGTGCTTTGTTTTGAACGTTCATCAGTATTATGATCAAAAGGAGAAATATGAAAGTTAGTTTTTACGGAAATGATAAATAATAAAGTCAACATTTCACAGTCTTTACTGAGCTGTGCGGGGTTTGTTAAACTTTTAAAATATGTTTGAATTGTGATATACACAGCGATAGATGTTAAGGACTGACGTTTATAATAAATACATTTGTATTTATTTTAAGGTCTTTTCATACAATAATACATATTGGGATCATTTGTATTAATGTGCACCGGAGGGAGAGGGTGACGAGCATAAGTTTCACTTTCCTTTTTTATTTCAATCACAACCTCGTTCATGAAGAATATGTTTCTCTGTTGTCCACGTTCGTAAAGCATCAGCAACAGCATCAGAGCACGGTGCAGAGTCTCTGGATGAGTTTACAGTAGTCTGTCGTTCTTATTATACATTCATGTAGTCCGCTGTATAGAAAACTGTAGTTTCCCCACAGCAAGACGCACATTTATGACGTCCGCTGGCGCATCATAAAAATGTCGGACAGTGTAAGTGCAGTCGGATTCTCAAAGTACAGTCTCTTTTCCTAAGTCCTTTTGAATTCTCCTATCCACTATTCCTTGACCCTGTGACGTTTCACACAGAGGTCAAGGAATAGACGACAGTAGCTGATTTTTGGACTATTCAGCTGCAATAAGGGTTATAGGCTTTAGTCCACAATGGCCCCTCAGGGTCTGAGCCACTGTTACCCCTTTTCCACTGAAATGAGTTCCGTGCTTGTTCCGCACTGGCGATGGTTCAGTTCATAATTGGTTCGCAATGTTGAGCCAACTGCGCATCAGTCTGCTTTTCCACCAACCAAAGCCCTTTAGGAGCCACGTCATGACGTTACAGTTTACGTCGCTTAATTTTCCGTTCGAACCACTTCGTTGGGAAAGGGGTATATCAGAGATGGCACAACAATAAAAAGACAGCGTAGTGATGTTTTCAGAGTTGGCATGGGCTGAAGGGTAACGTTTTCAATGGAAAGCCTGCGTTACAAATTGGTTGAATGATGTTTGAAAGACATTTACGTTTATTTGCTAAATATATTATTATATATTATAAGTATCAGATCAGTATTAGCAGATTAAAAACCTTGATCTGGATATCACTATTTTGAGTCTCTCCTTCTGCGCCTTAAAATGTGTGCAGGCTTTCCCAAAATGTAACTGGCCTTTTCACCTTTATCACATTCAAACGATGAAACTCCTTAGTTAGCTATCCTATAAGCTAGTTTCAAGCTTTTTCTTCTATGATCTATAATATATAAACAGGTTTTGAATAAATAACGTGAAAAAAGTCAAATAAAGGAAGCAATGCTGTTCCTGCCACCCACCCACTGTCCTGTGTGTGTGTGTGGTGTGTGTGTGTGTGTGTCTCTCTGTGTGTGTGTGTGTGTGTGTGTGTGTGTGTGTGTGTGTGTGTGTGTGTTCTGATTCCCAGCCCCTATACAGTTACCTATCAGCAGCTGAAATATCATGTGTGTGGTGTCTGCCCCCATGCCCATATCTACATGGACTAAGGTCATCTTGTGCCATCTTTCTAAAATATATACAGTGTACCTTTTCAGGCTGCACTCTTGGCACCACCTGACACTTTAGACATTTTGAGGGGGACATTTTTACATCAAATTTAAAGGGGACCTATCATGCAAAATGCACTTTTTGATGTCTTTTATACATAAATATGTGTCCCCGGTGTGTCAGGGAACTCACGCAGCGTCAGAAATAAAACCCTCTCTCTTTTCCTCCGTACCCAAATCTCTAAAAACGGGGCTACAACGGAGCTGATCCAGATTTGCGTCCGATATGAAGTAATATCGGAAATGTATGCTGGCTTTACACCCACGCCCCTATCACAAACTTTTCTATCAGAAACAATGCCAGACTGTTCTGGACGTAATATGTGATCCGTTCTATCGAAATCAGTCGGAAGTCGCAACGGCTCATTTCAGAATAAACGTGGATTTGCGAAAAAAAATAGTTTTTTGGGGTTCGGGTGTTTTGATTGATTTTAAATAAACAAAGTCTTGACTTTCAGAATATGAAACTTTTATTTCCAAAATCACACGATAAATACATTTTTGAAGCTTTTAAACTAAGGGAAGAAGACAGCTCTCCCTCGCCACTCTGATGTTCCGCAGCGCAGCTCCCCCTCCATCCGGCTGAAATTATGAATGTAAGGCGTATTGTAATCATAGATTACACGGCAGGGTCAGTTACAGTTTGTTTTCATCTGATTTCAAATAAACAAAGTCTTGGCTTTCAGAATATTAAACTTGTTTCTTCAAATTCAGATGATAAATACAACTTTGAAGCTTGTAACGGCATAATNGTGTGCCTTGGCAGTTGGTGCGCGGGGCTAATGCTAATAATGCTAATGCCAGCAAATACAATGGCGGCTTCACATATGGGGAGTACTAACGGAACAAAACGGGAAAAGTACGGGGAAAAGTACTCCGGTGTGAACGCGCCTAATGTGACATATTTTGCTTAATATTTGGAGTACAACAACAATCCTGATATCATCAGAAAGCTAGGAATATAGACAACAGTGTATACAACTCAAAACGTGTCTTTGGGTCAATGCGACTGATTTCGGTAGAGCAGGTCACATATGGTCGGTGCATGTTTACATTAGCATCGCTAACAATCAGAGCTAACCTGTACTGCTCAGAGCATGTGTGTGAAGAAGCAGGAAATAAAAAGGAACTCACCTTGTGGTATAACCGGCAAGAGAGAAAGCCTTTGAGCTCCATACTGTTTCAGAAATAATCTTTGATAATCCNTGATATGACGTTTCATCACGGCAGTATTTAGTTTAGACAGTAGCTGCCGGGTCCCGCATGAGCTCAGCCCCCTCCTTTTTATTTTTTTATCAATTTTTTTTTGTATCAATTTTTTTAAAGCTTTATTCCCAAAATCAGCACTTTTGAAACAGGAAGTGAAATAAAGGGATATGAGACATGGCTAGAATGGGTGATCTGTTTGGTATTTTGAGCAAAACACTTCATAGACATGTTTTTTATATATTTTTACATATCTGAGACCTATGCTATTGCCTAAAATAGCATGATAGGTCCACTTTAATGTGAATGTTTTTCTAGAGTCCAAGTGTGTCCCCTTTACTCCCCAGAGTAGCTGATACATGATTGAAAAACATGTGGGATGTAATTTGTCAGAAATAGGTTAATGGTACTTAATATTCTTCCGCTATAGTTTGAGGTGCGAGGTTTAAACCTTTGTAGTTGTGGGATCAGACATCATGTGTGATTTTATGTGTGTGAGTGGAATGTGGAATTCCTTCATTTTGTATTGGTGTGTGTGTCAGGGAACAGCTAATACCATGAAAGGTGGTGTGAGATCAGAACGGTTCAGACGAGGTGCTTAAAGGAGCTAGTGGTGCTGACTGGTTTAAGATTGGACTTCACACATTTTCAAATCCCCTCACTTACCCTGGTTACCCTCAATTAGGCGCCCATATTTTGTGTGTGTGTGTGTGTGTGTGTGTGTGTGTGTGTGTGTGGCAGACTAA